TAATTGGGGTCACGGGTTACGTGCCATTGCAACGTCTGCGTCGTATCATAAACACTCGTTTCATTTGAAAGTCAAAACTGCTGCAAATTTTTAAGTGTTTTCCAAATAATGTTCGACAATCCCACATTTCTCAGTGGCGTGGAAGTTTCGGAAGCTGTTTCCAAGGCCGATTTTAGGAAAATAGGAAGTGAAAAATGGCGGAAAAAATGAAATGAAGATGACTAGCTTTCATAAATTTACAGCCAAAAATTAACGGAGCGTATCGCGGAAATTAAATTTAGAAATAAGAACACCTAGACTACCGTGCTGAGGAAAATCGCCGTATGAGCATTCGAATGTTGCCAAATTTCCCATCAGAAAATATTTATTCTTGAGGAAATTCATGAATATTTTTCCTTGAAATTTTCAGACATTTTGGATCAAATTGTGAACAAAATTCTCTGGAAAATCGCAAGAAAAATATTGAAAATTGTCCCCGAAAATTCGCGTTTTATCCAAGAGAATTTGGCAATGTCTGAGGGCTCAAACGGCATTCTTCCTTAGCCCGGCTATAAAGACACCACGGAAGTGTTGAAGTAAAAATCAAAACACCCGGAAAAAATCCAAGTTTAAAAAAAAGAAGAATAGGAGGGTTGAAGAATGCAAGAACCTAGGTGGAGCCGACATCTGGTGAGCAAATGAGGCACTATCGCGGGAAGAGAACCCTCGACTCCGGTGCCTCGGCTACGGCAATAAATATCCCGGCGAAGCCATAAAACTCACTCTTGTCATCCGAAGAGCCACTTGTTACACGGATCCACCGGTCCCTGCCCTTGTTACCAACTATTATTACTTTTATATCTTTTTAAATGGTTTCGGGGGCTTGGAATTATTTATATTAACATCATTATAATGGGCTTTAATTCTATCAACATTCGCTTGTTTGCTGAAGGTGTTTCGATTGTTTATTTCTTCCGCACCGGCCCCTCCTCCCGTCCTCGTACTATGCTCTTCATTCATGTTCCTGGGCGCTTCATTCATGTTTCTGCCTGCCTCATTGGGGACCATTTAAGAGTGTTCTAGTGACCCAATTAGGTTCGGGATCGTGGTTTTTGAGGAAGTTAAGAGGGAGCCGCTGAGAAGGGCGGGGGGCAAATTGAATTTCGAACCTTAGGATACGTAGTAAGACGCCTACATGCTGGCATAGAATGCAAGAATGTCGCTCTGGATTTGTACATTTTTGCCTAAATGAAATTGTTCTAGTGGAAGGAAACTAAAGGAACGAAGGAAACAAAATTATACTATTCATATTATAACATTTTTCCCGATACATGAGGCGGGTATTCAATATTTTGGCGTTTTCCAGACGAAGAAACGTAACTCCATCCCGAGGTTGCAAAATTTACGCAAACAATTTAATTTTTTACAAGAGTGTACCGGTGGAATTTTCATTGAAAATGTGTGTGATTTATGTATGAGATCAGGAGACAAATCTGTGAAATTTTCAACAGGGCCCAAGGTTTTCCTGGTGAAAATGCAATTTCTGAGGAAAAATCTAACAACATCGAAATGAAGTTACGTTCTTTTGTAAGGGAAATGACAATTTATGCCCAAACCTTTAGAGGATCACTTAATTTTTAGGGCGGGTGCATTTTATCTCGGGCATCAGTCTTGTGGAATATAACACACACAAAAATGAATATATTTTAATGCCTTTGGCTGGCTAAGCCGCATAAAACATGATAAAATGATTGAACCAAATAGAGCTACAAGCCAAGCTAATAGTTATGTAGCTTGTTTATATTTTTTTGAATTTTTCTTGTAAAATTGTTCCACTTGTTGCACTGAAGAAGACCGCAGTTTGTTGGCGATCGAAACGTTTGTCTTGTTTCTTGTAAGTTTTTTATTATTTCTAATCTCTATGTAGTTTGAAATATTACTTATTTAATTTATTTTGGGCTTGTAGCTCGATTTTTTTTCAATCATTTTACCATGTTCAAAAAATGAAATTGCACGAAAGAGGATATTCCCCGCGAATATAATTTAAATATCTATTCAGAGCCTCGATTTGCTGAAAAATTCAGCGTTACCCCATCATTCACAGTCGCAAAGCTGAGCGCAACAGATTAATTTCGTTGCAAAATGTCGGAAAAAATTCAGCCGCCAGCAATGAGTATTCCTCAGGCACCAGTTTTGAAATGAATGGTATGGAGCCTGACAGCGCACGATTTGAAGCAACACAGTATGGAGAAGGGTTGTTGTCCGGACGGGACATTGTTTCAAAGGGCGCGCCACAAAGGGTGGCCTCAAGGTAAGTGGATTTCAGGGATTACGAGGAAGTGTTGAATAATTTAATGACGATTAATCATATTTAAAAGACCATTAACGCGCCGGAGCATATTGCAGTGTTCCTTTGCTTGTGCGGGAATGCACCTTCTTACGTATCAAGTGAAGGGTAAGAGAAAATTGAAATAAGCCTCAAAAACTCATGAGTCTTGAATTTTTTAAAGGCGTAAGGCTCTGGGGCTCACGAGATTCCAGCGTTTGTGTCACGACTATTCTTCGTTCAAATCACACCTGGATTTCCATAATCCTTTCCACGTCAAAGGACCGATTGTCCTGATCATTTAACGCCCCTAAACGCCTCCTTTTCACGAAATAAATGCGGTAGTAATGCTATTTTTGTTTTTGTTCTTTCATCCTTGCTTCCGATCCTTCTGCCTTACTGTATCAATGTAAATGTAAAGGCGGTTATAAATACATTGGTTCTCATTCAAAAGAACTAAGTAACTGAATCGCAACTTCTTTTTTTTAGATGTGTGTAGATAGATATCCTACTGGTCTATCACGGAGATAGATGATTTGGGGGTGTGAATTCTAAATTGTTCGATGAATATGCTTGGAGTGTAATCGGATGGAATCGAAGCATCATCATACTGTTTAGAGTCTCCATATTCAATTACATATGCCAAATTAAATTCACAGAATAAAGCTTATTTTTGTAGATTCGTAATTACTTTAACACTCAACATTTATATTACTTTGTTGGTATTCTACCTTTTTCCTAAGAATACGTGTACAATCTTCAAGGCTCCGAGATTAAAATGATGCTGTTTTGATTTTCTGACGACTACATGAAACAATGTAATTAATATTTTTGTGTGTTTTTCTTATATGTTTTCTTTAGAAACAAGAGGGTAGAATTCAAAATGGTATGAGAAGGAAAGTAGAGAAAAATTCAAGGATTACAGTCGTCTAGTGTTGATCCTCTGACCAGTAAAAAAACGGAAAACATCGGATAGTAACAATTACTATACAATGTATTTTATATTTGTCAGAAAATCAAATTGAAATTATTCAATTTAGTTCAATTCAAACTATGGAGATATTTTAAAAACTCTGAAGAAAAAAATGTCAAACTAAATCTAGATTATGAAATGATTTGAATAATCGTCATATGTTTGAGACATTTGTGGCAGGAGTGGTATCATAACGCCAAAACACTATGTGTTGATTTAACTTTTCTATTGACATGACTGATCCTTCTCGTATTAAAACTCGTTAACCTTCTTTCTTTTTTAAAATCAAACTTGTGCTTTCAGAAAAAATGAAGAAATTATCGATGATTTCTACGTGAATGCATGATCAAAGGAGCTTCATAGGTTTGATGGAAAATGCGCGGCTTGCAGAATAAAACGAGAATCTCATTGTCAGTAACTGATGTGAGGAATTGTGCATTTCAGGAGAAGAGATGATCAAAATTGAACAGTTTTAATCAGAATTAGCTTAACTATAGCAGATAATCGTTACATAATTTTTTTCTTTAAATGACAATTCTGGCTATAACTTGTGTATGTGTATTATTTTCAATAATCTATAAAAATGTACAGAAAATATTAAGCCGCTTTTAAAGTCTACTGCCCTATTGATGAAATAATACATGAGAGAAAATTAGCCACATTTAAATGTAAGTTAAACTGATTTTGGTTGAAGCAGCGTGATTAAATCGTCTTATTGCCTTTAAGACAATAACTTCAGATAATTTAGGAATACTTCGGCTTTTTCACTGCTTTGTAATTTAAAAATAGGTGCAGAATCCGATGGAAACTTCACTTTAAAATTAGCAAGAAAATACGAAGTGAGATAAGAGGGAAATGACATTTTCACCCTAAATCCTCACATTTTTTCCGAAAGTCATCAAAGCTTGCACTTGCTTAATCTTAGTTAATCCGATCACTTTGGAAGAGCTAAGCGGCATATCCTGGAGCTTTGTTTCCTTTAGTTGTTGAGACGTGCAGTTTAGTACCAAGTTTAGTCTTTTAAGTAAATTACTTGAGTTCTTTCTGGACATAAAAATCATGCAAAAACGTTATAAATGAATGAAACCCTCAGGATCACTAATTTGTATCCGTAATCCGCTGCTATTCAGGGTAATTGACCCAGTGACCCTGTGAAATTTCTAGACAAGCAGAAACAGACTGAATATGATCGGAAAACAACAGGAGAAAGAAAACAAAACAAACTAAACGATTCAATCGCCAGGTAGCGAGGCAGGCACGCTCTAAAGGCTCTCATTGTCAGTTCCGCCGGACATGACCAAGGTGACGAGTAAACAAAAAGCGTTGCTAATCGCGATTGAAAGCGTTCCCCAAAGCTCCGAGGAAACACTTCAGAAGTTGCCCTAGACTCGGGTGCAATGCCACTAATATTCAGAGTCGAAATCATCATCAAAAATGATAGAATCACGAGGATGGTCCAGCACCCAGGCAGAGCCATCCCCTCTCCCGATGGTTCCTCGGGTTCCCCTCCCCCCGCCCAGGTTCATTCATACACTCCCCTTTGGGCGCGACGAAGACAGCGCTATGGGCCGGGCGAGCGGCGGAGCGAGACACCCGCAGCGACTAGGAGGGATAACCGGGAGCCAGAAGAGACCGGAGTCGGATTTGATTGGCCGCCCGCCTGGTTGCGGCGGCGGCCGCCAGAGGGCGCCCGCGGCCGCGCTATCGCCCGACTCTGCGCCTTCGCCGTGGAGCGCTCAAAAAACTATCGTTTGATTTATAATACCTCTAACACGTGTTCCTGTTATTCTTTGGGCTCACTCCGTATCAATGCGTTGTCGGAGCCCATTCAAAAAAGTGATCGGCCCCGAAAAAATTCGGATTTTAATCGCTCGTCGTTTTTTCGGAAAAAATTTCGTGATCCTCAGTCGCTGCCGCGCTCTCGCGTGACGTACTTCCGTAGAATTTTTTCCCCGACTAAATTTTCCGGGAAAAAAATTAAAAAAGTGGAAAAAAATAAAATTCGCGCGCAAAGTTACGGGATGTGGATCAGTTAACGCAAGGATACTCCGGTTCCCGAAACAGTCGCCTGGAATGATTGTGATCTCCTCCGAGTAGATTAATAGTCGCAACCCTTTCAGCCATTGTTCTCCGCGCGTCTTTTGCAACGAGCCTTTCTCAGTGTGTGTTGTGCAAAATTCCTCGCCGAGGTCAGCGCCTCGCCTTAGTGTGACTAATCGCAGCTATTGAGAACGCTCCGGAATACATTAGTGCCCCGCAGAACGCATCCTCCCTTGTGCAAGTGTAAAAAGTGCATTGTGTAATCCCAGGAAAGTGATACCCCGCCGAAATCCTCGTGATCAAGATGAGAGAGTTATCAGTGCATCATGTTCACCACCCAACGACCCGCATTAGAATCTTGTAGTCCGGCTTCGTGGTAGTGTGTAAAATTAAGTTTTTTGGGATTTTCGGGTGTGCAGTGTGACATTTTCGATGAACATGAGCTCCTACCAGTTCCTGAACCACTTGGGGTACCCCCAAAGTGGTGGCCAAGGCCAGGGTCGGTCGGGGGCCAGCCCGGTTGACCCCACCGAGGGCAGCCCCAGCTCGGACTACTACAACCCCAACGCGGGGGTTGTCGGGTCCTACGCGGTGGGCAGCGGGTGCTACTCCCCCCAGGCGCAATACAACGCGGCCGCCGTGCAATACATGCAACAGTCCCCCGGGGGCATGATGGACTACACCCAGCTCCACACGGCCTCGCACCCCCGGCTCAGCCAACACCTCCAACCCCTGAACTCACTGCCGTCGCCGGAGGCCTTGCCTTCGCCGATCCTCAACAATAACAACAACAACAGCACCCCGGTGACGGGGATGGGGGGCCAGAGCTGCAAGTACGCGGACTCGACGACGACGGCCCCCTCGGCGAACGGGGTGGCGTCCCCGCAGGACCTGAGCACCTCGGGCCCCGGCCAGCCGCGGTCCCCCGGGCCCCTCCAGGTGAAGACCTCGCGGTCCTCCACGTCCTCGGCTATGTCGCCGCCGCTTTTGGGGGCCCAGAGCTCGGGGCCCGCGTCCCAGACCTCCTCGTCGCCCGCCTCCTCCACCTCCTCGTCGTCGACCCCCGGCCCGAACAACTCCTCCACCTCCGGCAGCAAGTCCTCCGGCAACCCTCCGCAGATCTACCCCTGGATGAAGCGGGTGCACCTAGGACAAAGTGAGTACAAAATTTGTGTCCTGATTAGAACTGTGGGGGGTTTTGGATGGGACGAGGGAATGCCAACTCCCTGATTGTGGGGAGACCGAGTTTTAGGGTGTTTGGGCGTCGCAGAGCGCCAGAGAACGCCGTGAGAGCGAATCTTGTGTGTGTATTAGAACTATGCCTTCTACACAGATAAAACTGAATGTTTCATGAATTACAACCCAGAATGGAGGATTTGCAGGTGTCTGAAATTTGATGAATTTCGTGTGCAAATGGAAACTACTGAGTGAACTGGACACAGGGATACTTTCTGTTCATGTATTGAACAATTATTGGAGGAGATATGGCAAAAAATTCATATTGCTAAATTACATGTGCTTAATTGGGAAATGCCGTCAGATGACGTCACTGGGTGGTGCATTTTTTCACTTTAAAATATATTTTTATATAATTTTCCATGTCAGAAAAAATTTGAAAAAATACTGCAAAATCAGCTCTTATAAGCTTTTTTAGATGAAGTTATCAAAAATTGCGTGTAAATATTCCATAGATCCTATAGTCCAAATCATGAAAAGTTGATTTTTAAAAGATCCGAAATGGGCTCCTTCAATTCTACTGAGTAGGAACTCAGTTTAATATACATTTAAAAGTCATCAAAAACGCTCAATGGGAATCAACAATCGACTTTCAGGGGTATAACGGGGTCATTAGACATGTCAACTATTGAATAGAGAATTTGCAGGTGCCTGTTTGATGAATTTGATGTGTAAGTGGAAAGTACGGAAAAAAGTTATTGGTGAAGATTTGACAAAATGATCTATCTGCTGCAATATATGCGTTTACATGGAAAATTATTTTGACTTACTTTTTTGATGTTATGGTCCGATCCAAAAAACAAAAACAAAAAAGTAAGTCAAAATAATCATGATATCCGACAGAGTGGAAAAATCCCTTAGTTTACATGGGAAATGTCGCTGGATGCCGTCACTAGGCGCTGCATTTGTTTACTTCTGAATCGATTTTTATTCTATTTTCTAAGTCAGAAAAGTTTTTAAATAAATTCTGCGAAATAAGCTCTTGAAGCACTTTCAGATGAAGTAATGAAAACTTTGCGTACAAATTCTCCAGAGCCTGTCGTCCACATCATGAAAAGCTTATTTTCAACAGATGCGAGATGGGCTCCTTGAATTCCACTAAGTGGGAAATTTTGTCGAAAATGCGCCTGAAGGCATCAGAAACGGTCTATGGGCATCAGTAATCGACTTTCATAAGTATAATGTGGTCATTAAACATGTCAGTTATTGAGCTAGCAACTATAGGTAACGGAAAATTGTCAAGAATGTTAACATAGTTTCATACAAGTATACAAAGAGGGTATCAATGACGAGGCGTTTCTATCGGCGCTCTGAGAAACTTTTTTCCGTGTGCACTTGTGGAGAAATTGCATCAAAATATTATTTGGAGCATGTCAAAATCTTATTGACTTTAAAAGTGACTATACTATATTTATTCGAATTTTGTTTTGATCGCATTGACGATCACAGTCGGTTCATTAAATAAGTTGACAGCAGGATGGCACTAAAGTCGTGTTGAAAATTTGCACAATTATTGACTTCATTATGAGAATATCGTGACAAGTTGCCTACTTAGTGTCGTCTCCGGTATTTTTTTAACATTTTATGGCTCTCTTGAATGCAAACGAACGGAGGCAAGAAGCTTTTGTTTCTTGCCACGTGAACATTACTCATGCACGGTCTCTTTAAAAAATCAGTTTCTGTATCACTACGTTTCGGCAGTGTGAAAATTCATTTCTGCAAATCTTGTACACTGATTTTCTCACTCGTGATTTTCTGATAAGTACCTGGTCGAAAGTGACCCAGTAGTTCCAAATGAAATGCAGTTAATTGAATTTTCTGCGATAGAAGTTTCCCCTACTATCACGGTAGTAAATACCTATGTATATTGATTAATTTCACTCAATTCTGGTGGTGTAAGGGAATTCCTATTCACGTATAAAATAAGGAATATTCTGAGAAAATTCTGTCGATGCCATGAAAATTTCTTCCGCAGTCAAGTATGGAAAGAAATCCTCCTAAAGTAAAATCGGTTTACGTGGAGGTTCGCTTCCCTGTACTCAACTTTGCCCAAACCTCCAAGTATTATTTACATTAATTGGTGGAAAATACATTATTTCGATCAAAGATAATTTCGATCGACACAGGAAAACTTTTTAAGTCCTTCTTGCAATTTTATCCCCACCAAATATACTCATAGTTTCAGAAAAACGCGGCCTCTTTCTAAAACGTAAACTGCTGAAATATTGTAAATTTTGTGAAATGAAATTTTTAACGCAGTTTTTTATTTACTGATTTGCTTACTTTCTAATATTACAGATTTCCATACTTTTCGATCATAAGTATGGAAGTAAATCCGTTTTTAAAAGATGTGTCCAGGCATCATGATTCAATACTCTTAAATTTTTTTTAACATTTTACTACTCATAGGGGGTCGTATGCATTCCTACTCGCATTATTGAGAGGAAAATCGCATATTTGTACTTTTAAATTTTACCATCGAAAAATTATACATTTGATTATTTTTTGAAAAGTCTCCGTTTTTATGTTGTACTCGTATTAAACAAATATAATCGCTTGATACATCAGTTTATGACAATATAAAAATTTTTGGAAGATTTATCACTAAGTGCTTAAAGTACGAGTTAAATATCTTAATTCCAGTAGTAGCAATTAACAGAAGCTTAAACAGCCCATCCCGGGTACGTAAAATAATTTAATCTTGCGAGCACGGTAAAACTATAGTTGAGGAACAGCAGGGATAAGCGAGCATGTAAATGAGTATTATTAAACGATTAAAATCTAGACAGAATAATCTTTCGTTACCACTTAGACACCATCAACTCTGAAAACTGATTCATTGCATCGGCGAAGAAACATTAAGAACACATACTTAATGACGAAGATTACAAAATTGTGAAGATTTTACAGTTCAAGTACTGACTTTCTTGAAAGTCTCGTGCATGTTAAACTTCCTCCATTAAATTGTATAAATTTCATACAAATCATCGGCCGTATTCACAGCCGTGAGAGTTTTTTTTTTCTCAGAGAGTCGTCATTTGGTTTATTCAGTAAAAAAAGGGAATTAATGTATAACCGCAGCATTGTATTGAGAAAAAAATGAACAAAGGAGTGCAAAATTTGATAAAAACATTTTCTGCGTAATTTCTTGCCATTGGTGGGAGTTTTGAATACTTTGCCACCTTAAAAACTCAATAAATAGTGAAGAATTATTGTACTAAAGGTTTAGCAGATTTCAAAGTGGGTCCTTGGCTATCCCAAAATTTTTCAAAATCTAAAAATTGTCTCCCTCTTTTTTGTTTCTTTGTAGTTAGAAGTAATAACAATCCTATAAGAGAATCCATGTATTTTACTCTGTAAATATACGTTAATCTTTGTGTCATTCTGGAGGCTTCCTTGAACTTTCCATGTCACTATGCTAACCATGTATTAAAAAGCTTTTTGAGAAATGGTTACGAATACGTAGTCACATGAGACAGAGACTTCAAATGTAAATGAAATCACTACGAAGTCAAAGTTGTTTGAATGAATTTTAACTCATTCGCTATACCCATTATGGGCAATCAACTGGTGTAATGGGGTTAAAAACATGACCCCAAACAAACAATAAAACTTTCACCGAATTTTGATGAATTGACACGTAGTACCGCGAAACATGAAAATGAGCATTTACGTGGGGTCACGGGTGAGGGAAGGGGTGCCCTTACTCTTTTACAAGAACCATAAATCAAGGAGCCGACACCACGAGTCCTTCTCCAACCCCCGGATCTTTTATTAAATATCTTCCTCAACCAGAAGCAACCCAAACTTGCGGTGTATGGACCCTCTAAGAGCCACTCTCTTGAGGGTCTATTTGTCTGTTTATTTATTTATTTAGTTTTATTTATTGTCTTTTTCCCGTCGATTTAGGGTTAAATATGCTCGGCATCCAGTTATATTAGCTCAATGAAATCAAGAATAATTCCACTCGAAAAATAGAGAACTCCTGTAATGACGCGTTAGAAACAGAGAATGTATCGTACAGTGGCTTTAGCATTCCCGCGTGTTTTTCATTCGGCATTGCAACTTTCGTTCTTCCTCTTCGTTTTGAAAACAAAGTTGATTCGGAAATGTGTAGAAAGCGTCTCGTAAGTTCTTGGCGGGAAGTCTTCACAAGAAAAATTTAAAGTTGACTGTCTTGAGAGGGAATAATTTGTTCTTTAAATTTTTTTTTTTTTTAAAGAAAAAAACTGTGTCTCAACTACTTCGTTTCCGGAGTTTATGATCACCGCCGCTAGAATTGTCATAGTGTTGAATACAACACTAAGCCGTGGAAATGTCTGCTACATTAACTTTGAAAAAACCGTTGAAAAAATTACCGAAGTAAAATGTGATGGACATTCTCAGAATGAATGTATAGAGAACCATATGAGAACCATATGAATGTATAGAGAGGATGAGGCTTTTTTTTGTGCACCTAAACAAAGAGTTTCAACACGAAAGTTTGATTACTACGGGATGTGAAACACAAAATAATCCTAGCCTTCGGTTGACAATTTCAAGAGGAAGAAAAAGAAGAAGAAATTCAATAAAAAACGAGTGGTGAATACCAATATCGCAGTCGGAGGAATGCATTTTCCCAGTTTCTGATTATTTTCTGCACTAAATTCGCCATAAACTGTATCAAAATCAACACAAAATTTGTGTTGATTTGTGTTTCACTTCCTATATTAACCAAAAATAACACAAGAACGCAAATGAATCAGTGAGAACGAAAACACACCAACTCGGTAACTCGAAAATGCTCGATTTCAATTAAAGACAGTTAATTTACATGAAAGGCCATTGAAATTAGCGCGTCTGTTCCAACTCGGACCTTTGAAGTGCCCATAAGTACTTGTCTTTCGGCAGCGAAAATCTTTTTTTTAAACTAACTTCTTC